GCTGGGGAAAAAAAAAAAAAAAAGCAAAAAAAAAAAAAAAAAAAGCACACCGTTCCTATAAAGATATTTGAACTAAACACTGCATTGAACTACACACTGCATCTGTGCCCATGGCTTCAGCCCCACTTCATCCTCATGTTTAAGAGAGGCACCCCAGCTGCCTTTGCTTGATGACTGAAGCCATGGGCTTGGGAAAACCCAAGCAGAGATAATGTGATCATGTTCTTGCCATGTGCAGGGGTCACTGCTCCCATCCTTTGTGCAAGGGAAAAACAAAACCCACCAGCCAAAACCACCCTGGAGACTGGATAAAGCCTTTCCACGTGTCTAGGTTAAGGGTCCCATGCTCAGTACCTTCTTGGGAAGAGCAGTGTGCTGGGACTGGCTACAGCTCCATCCCATAAGTAGGGCTGCAAGTCAGGCTTTCTCTTTTTAATCCTTTTGAGCAATTCCACTGTGGTACATGTACCCAAACATAAGGGGACAACAATAACTGTGCCTCTAACTCCCACATGCATGAATCACTTTGGAAGTGGCATTCTGGTTCCAAAGCTTATATTTTTTTAATTTATTTATTTATTTATTTTTAAACACTGTGTATTGTAAAGCAACATCTCTGGCTGTGCATCTCATTACCTCCTTTCTGGAATTGAGTCGAGCCCACTATCATGGTCATACCTTTATCTCCTTCACTAAAATCTTAAATGTATTGCAAAACTTTTAAAGGGAGGGTCTTTACATCACATTGAATGGAATGGTATACGGGGTGATAACAAAATAACAGAGACTGAGTACATGAAGTAAAACAAAGGAGAGCCTATGAGTAATGATACACATTTGAAATTCAGGAGGGTTTTGAAGACAGAATACTTCAGGCCAGCTCAGTATCTTCCTTCCTGAGGCCTCCACCTGTAGAAGGAGAATGGGTTTTTTTTTCTACTTGTAATTTGATTTTAGCTTCTTAATGCAAGGTCTTTTTCTTGCTTTATATTTATATTGCACTGAGGATGTGGAGTGTGATTTCTGTCAGCATTGCTAGATGTTAATGCAGCATATCTCATAATAAAATAGGATTCAGTCTGAAAAATATCCTGGACATGACAATCAGCCCTTTGGGTGGATGAGTTAAAGTGGACATTGACATGCAGGAGCTAAAATGGACATTGGTTTCAGTTCATGCCCTTGGGGAGATGGCCCTGAAATTCTTCCTATGTTTGTGTTTTGACTAATCATAATTCCTGGAGCTAAATATAACTAAAAAATATATAAAAAAAAATATTTTCCTATCTTCTTCCAAGGACTGATTTGATATGAGGATATTCTCTCTTACATAAAATGATAAACATATTGTCACCTTTATCATATTTTTCAGAGGAGTGTGCCCTCCTGAAAACTTGTGAACAAATAACGTCTCCAGAAGATGTCTGATGTAGTGTAAGCAATGGCAGAAGCAGGCCAAGCTGGAAGGAAAAAAAAGGGTAATTAAGGTAAGTGAAAGATTGCTTTTTATTACTTCACATTTTAATGTCACAAAAGGAATAAGGACTAATATTCCAAAACTGCAGAGTCACACTGAAATCATGGGATTTAAGATATTGTCTTAATTGAAGCATCTGGAACCAGAGATTAATGGAATCATTTTCAGTGTTATACGAAGATGCTTTCATCTTGCAGGGAAGCAACTTATTTTTACTAGCCTTGAATTAAAAAGAGCTCCTCACGCTCTGAATGTGATACATAGCCCTGCCAAGACATTAAAGCAGGACAGCTGTGTATACAAGCAAGCGTCTGCTGCGCTTTTCCAAAAGACGTCTCCCACGTTTCAAGGCCACCTTAATGCTCCTGTAGGATGTGTCTGACATTTAAAAACATTTGGAATATCTCCTGAATGGTTTCCTTGTCCTTTGCCAACTCAAGTAGCTGCATGGAGGTAGTTCGTATTTCATTTCCTTGTGGACGCGAAATGAGATTTTGTTGCAAAGTTAATCCATTCTGATGGCTTTTTTGTTGCCCGCTACAAAGAAATGAGGTAATTGTTGTAGAAATTATTATACTGATTCTCTTTTGAGGAAGATTATGAAACAATAACAGGAGTTGCTGATTTGCTTCCGAGAATGAGTTGCAGCTCATAGAGATTGAGTTTCAAAAACAAATGTCAAGAGTGATTCCTGGTGGCATTTTATCTTGCTTACATTTACCGTACTACCAGAGCCTGTCTCACTGCAAACCAATTATAAGACATAAATGAAAAGTGGTTTTCAGCATGTGAAATCTCAAATACTTTTATTATGCATCTTGTATGGTAGCCAGAGTCAAAGATTAAACAATTTCAAAGTAATTAAACCAGAGAAAGTTGAGCTAAGAAAAATTCAAAGAATTAATGACTTGTCCAAAGTCTGGAGCAAACTTCCAGCACTTCTGGGAATTTTAAAATTAATTTGGCTTAGGATGGGGACGTCAGATGAACGTGTTGAGGAGTGGTCACTGGAAGAATTCTGCACATCCCTTTTCCATTTAAAAGAAGATAAAGGTATTGCTGTCTCTTCCATGCTACCAGAAATGTTCTCCTTTTAGGTGTATAAGAAAGAGAAGGCAGGCAAGCATCTTCCAGCTCTGGACTTGAATTCAACTATCCTGTGTTCTCGTTGCCAGGTGCACTAACCCCCTTAATGTCTCTCCAAATCTCTATTCCTCCATCTGTAAATTAATGTAGAATATAATCTCTAATTACTCACTGTGTTTCTCTGCTGTATACCAGCTTCCTTGGTTCTGCAATCATAGTGTAGAAAAAGTGGTGTGGGAAAGCTGTACAGTTCCTTGAGGCTCTTAGTTCCCTGCGTTCCCTTCCACTTCCAGTGCTCCAACTTATGTAGCTGACAGGCTTTCCTTGATCACATTCCACCCCTTTGCCAGGCACTAATCCCCCAGAACAGGGACAATCACACTGAAGAGAAGTTTGTTCCTTAAGTGTGAAAGTTCCCAGCCTGCCTGGTGCATTAACTGCCATCCAGTGGAGGGGTACGGTTGGTGGCAGTTATCGTGTATAGCTACTTGCCACTTTCCTGTCTATAACAGTTCTTATTCCCTCCCATTGCTCAGGTCTGTCTTGTTTCTTCCAGAGACCTTCAAAAAGGCTTGAGAATGGCAGGGGCCATTGAAGGTTGTAAAAAGCTATCTTGGTTTGTTGTCCTCTCTTCATTGCTTTCTGGCATGCTCTTGAGTTCTAGCAGACTAAGCAGGTAGTGTTTCCCTGTGGTCAGCTGCTACTGTATTATATTGGAGCTGTTTAATTTTCCTTGTTAGCATTATTGTTCCAGTGATGGAGAGAAACAATGCTATCTGGTTGACATTTATATATGAGCTCCTCTGATTTGTTTCTGTACAGCTAGGTACAGCCTTTGCTCTTCATTGTTCTGTAACAGTGGCTGAGCTCTTATTTTTGTCAATTCAGTGTTTTATTTCTTAAAAGTCTTTCATAACTCAAATATGTTGCGTATGGCCCTGGGGAACAATCACAGTCTGAAGACATTTATTTCAAAGATTACCAGTTCTGAGTTCCTATGGTGCTTCCTCAGTTTCTCAGTTGTTCTTGCCCTGACTCACGACATGCAGACGTCTTGAAATTCCTCCTTGCTGTGCCTAAGTGAGAACCAAGGTGGGGGTAGTTGTCTTCTGTGCTGGATGCTCATCTTATGAATAGGAATGAACTGTAAACAGACTGGGAGTGGGACACCTGAAGTCTTGTCCTCTCTTCTCTGTCTTCTTTGTCAAGCATGACTTTGGGTTACTATCCGCTGTGTTTACTATTTCACCTTCTGTTCAGGCTGTGTGTGTGTCTAGAGTGCAAATGATTTGGGGAAAATACTACATCTCCCATTGTGACCATTGCAACTGGTTCCCACTTTTGGTCAGGCTTATGAGTGCTGCTAAATGCCAAACCACTATTGATAGCCTGAAACTCCCACTAACTCTGAGACTAGGCATGCAGTCTCATACCCCCTGTAAACTCCTCAGTCCTGGAAATGCAGTCTCTTATCCCTCTGGCTCCCTGTCCTCCAGGAAGATAGTTCACACAAGTGTCACTTACTGAACCACTGGGTGACGGAAGTTCTTCATACTTTCCACTTGATCATAAATCGTTGAGAGACGAATGTAAAAGAGCAGATATATTAGAAGAGGCCCAGTGTATTCTGTTAGAAAAAACTAGAAATGAAAATAGCTGTATCAGAACAGGAAATTGTACCAATAAAGGCATGAGAAAAAGAATACCCCTATCTACAAAACCTATTCAACCTTCAAATGCCATTTTGATTTCATTTTAAGGAGTTAAATGACACATAGGGTTTTTTTCTGCTGTCTCTTTAGCAAAGGAGTAAAATCCATCTAAGAAATGAGAGGTTTCTGTGCAGAACATTAACCCAGTCAGGAATGCTTCATGGAAGGTGGTCAAAATCACAGTTATCTCCTCTTTATACTTTTGGCTGTGCCACCAGATGCCTATTTGGAATCTAAATAACACTGAAAATCAAGGCCCAAAAGCTGAAGGCAGCTTGCTTTCTGCCAGTGTTTTTTGCAATTAAGTGATACATCAGTCAAAAACCAACCAGGCATGACAGAAACAAACATAGCTTTGAATCCTGGAAGCTTTGAATCATCTGGAAGGGAGGGATCATTGCTTGAAATTTAGTGGTGGGTGGAAGAGCAGGGACCTGCCTGCCTGCCTGGTGTATGGTGCTTTGAGCCTTTGTTCAGTAATTGAGTGGAACTCCTCCCCATGCAAGCAGCAGCAGAAGTAGCCTGTGGTGGGCAAACTGGACCAGTAAGTTACCCTGTAAAGCAGAAAGAAATAATTTCGTCTCCTCACTGTCACCCCTGCTAGCCGCAGAGAGGACATATGGGGCCAAGGAGAGAAGGCAGAGTTATAGCACCATGAGCCACCCTCTGTTTTACATTCTGGCTTTGGTTTGGTACAGCCTGCATCGCTTTTTGTAAGGGCACACTCTTAAGCTACAAACAGCTGGAGGAAGTAAAATGTGATTAGAGTGATGTGAGGTCTGGATTTGATCATCTGTCTCCACTGGAATGAATCTCAGAATAAAACAGAAATGGTGCGGTCCTACATATTTACAAGGACCAGCAACTAGCAAATCATAACTCAAGTGCATAGTATTGCTTAAGGGATAAAGATTCATAACTAATGGGCAGTTTGGCTTTTAAGGTGGCTACTTGCACTGCTGTAGGATTGTAATGGATATACCTGTGACCTAAGGAAGCAACAATGAATTTAGACTACCTCTCTCAAAAGTAATATTTGTCAGGCAGTCTGACCCCCAGCAGGCTGTTCTTCTAATCACCCTTCAGAAGAGCTTTGAAACAGAAAAGTTTTCCTGCAGGAATATTCTGAAATTAGCTTTCCTTCGTTTGGGGCCCCAATACCATTTCTTTTCCTCTGTTACAGGGGGAAACTTTTTGAAACTTCAGCCTTTCATAGCAGGACTGTCTCCAAAAGTAACAGACTTAACTGTTCTCTAGCAGGGAAATGTCAAATTCTCTTTTGTTCCACGTGGCAGCACGATTTCTGTGCTCCATTTAGACTCTGCATGATCCCAAGAGTGTCTCTATGTGTGTATGGGAACATTTAATCAAGGAGTGTCTAAGAGCCCACATTGTTGTGGAACACACCACAGCCAAGGGCTTATTAGAGTTTTGTCCTGATAGCAGTTGTACAGGTCTATTCCTAACTGTGAGCCCACTGTGTTAGGTACTCTAGAAACTCTGTAAAAAATGGTCTCCACTATTAAAGCCTAATACACTAAATATAGACAACGGTGGTATAGGAGACAGAGGTGCAGATAATGCGGTCTGGGCAGGTTAGTGTAAGAGCTTGAAATGAGCTGCTTTCTTCAGTAGAGCTTTTCCTCTCATCCATGAATTGCACCGCAAAATATACTCGTTACTGCCAGCTTTTATCATCTGTTTGGCATGAGCATATTACAAAGCTGCCAATAAAAGTCTAGCAGGACTTAGCACCAAGTTGTGGTTACTTATTACTGTACCAAGTGTGCTCCCCTTACCCCCTGGCTGATTTCAGATGTTGAAAGGAGAAGGAAAGCTTCAGAATTTAGTGAAAAATTCCAGTCTCTATTTAACAACCAAAGCTATCATCCATGTGATAACTGAAGCCCTGTGACTGGGTGAGGACGTGTTTTTGATGTAGGAGGTGAGATGCAGAGACTCCCATCAGAGCAATTCAGAGAAGCAGCTGAGAGCACCAACAGCAGCTCTTGAGTTGGGGTTTGTGGAGGTGAGTAGCATCAGCGGCCTCAGGGTGCTTTGCAGGCTGAGGACAAGGTCCCATCTTATCTGTGTGTCAGTCACACCCAACACAAAGTATTAATTGCCCATGAGGATGCAGGCTGTCCATGGTCAGCTGTGAGATTTGCAATCAAAGCAGGTATTGACTGGCAGGCAGGACTGTATTTGCCTTTGTCATAACTGTCACACTGCTGGAACATAGTTAAGATCAGTAGCCCTTTGTTTTAGAGAATGAGGTTCAATTTGCTGTAGTGTTTTAAGGGGTTTTTTTTACATTTTAGGTGTGTTTCAGTCTGTTTCCCTCAGTTGCATCTCCCATGATGCCAACCTCTGCTCTCCTTCTCTGGCCCACTGATTTTAAATTAATCAGAAATGAAAAGTGAGTTCCAGAAAGGCAAGCAGAGAAACTCTGCTAGAAATCCCATGAGTGCAAGCAGGTGGAAGGGAAAGTGTCTTAAATTAACACAAAATTACAATCAGTTCTAACCATTGGCAATCATAGGCAATCACCATTCTTCTACTATTGATTCTCATAAATATATGAAATTAAGCCTACCTAGTAACTTCATACTCATCCTATAGCTGACTAATTGCTGGGCTTGGGGGATTATTATTTGTGTTACAGATCAGTTCAACCTATCATTTTTACAGATACTCCAAAAAAACTACAAAAGTACTAAGATACTAGTGCCTGCCGACATATCCTGCAAAAAAATAATAATCAAATTTTAAACAAAACCCTGAAAACAACAACATTGTAGCTTGCAGTTTCTGGACAAAAGAAATACCATTTTGTAAAAACAAAAAAAAGTGATCATGTAAAAAACAGAGCATTTTTCTTCTGTAGAAATGTAAAAAAAATCCAATATTTAGAAGGTAATTACTTTTTCTTTACCATCTTGTGGGCCTGCCTAGATTATTTTGATGTATTTGGTGCATCCAAGTATGGTGGTCCACAGTAAACACAAAAATCTTTGCCTGGAGGAGCATTACATCTCTATTACAATGTGCATAGTTCAACAGAATTTATCTTTTGAGTTCATCATTAACTCCCTGAAGAATGAAAACAGGAGATTGCCTTTTTTTTCCCACATCTGTACACTCTCATATCTTGCACCATGTCCAGTTCTCTTACCTTCTTTCTTCTCTCTCCAGTGTCTGTCATTATATACTCTATATATCTCTTATTCTCAGTGGCATAGAGAAAGTCCTGTTCTTGAATCAAACCTCTCCCAGGCTTGAGCTCCATATAGGGTGATAAACTCAAGCTTCTGTAACTGTCTCAATTATTGGTCCTTGGGGACCTGATTCAGTAATACCTAAACTGGAAACACCTAATACATAAACAACAGAATGGAGATCTGAAATATCTCTGGAAAAAAGAGCTAAGGTAGGAGTCTCCATCATTTGAGAGGTGATAAGACAAATGAGAAAACAATACAGGACAGCTAACTCGCAAACCAGCAAGGCATTTCATCTTGCATGAGCCAGATTGTACCTGCTTTTTTAATCTCTGTTCAGATGATCATGCCAGTAACACCTTGCTGAACTGAGTAACAACCAGGTCAGGAATTATATTCCTAGATTTTATGAGGCAGAGGGTATATTTAGGGAGATATGAATACACCAGAGGTGAAAGAAACTCTTCAAAGTTATTTGAGGGAATGTGAGGTGAATTTTCTGGCTGGTAGAGGCAGCTGGCATAGTGCCTGACACCATCCCAACAGGTCTACTACATGGAATGGAAAGGTTTTTGACATGAGTTAATAGTACCATGTGTACTGGTTGGGAAAAGGAAGCTATAAACAGAGGGGGCGGACTGGAAGGAGTCTGAAAAAGTACAACAGATCTTTATAAACAAACAGCCCATGGATTAGCAATCTTCATATGAGGGCATCAGCTGATTCCTCTCTGTAATATTTACGACATGCCCTTTCTGTTATACTGCACAACACAACCTATCTCATATCATGTTGCCTTTTGGCATAATCTCACAATATCTCACTTAGGACAAGCTGCAGAGCAGAGCTGAGGAAAGGCCATTACAGCCTTTTCCATACTGATCCCTTCCTGCAGCTCTTTCCATGCCATGTAGGGGCAGTTTCCCAGTTCATTGGTGCTGGTCGTGATGTTTTTCTCTGTCACTGCCAACGGGATGTTTGGGTTCAAGCAGGGGAAGTGGAGGGCATGGTATGAGGATAATACCTGCAGCCAGGACAATGACTTCAGGGTCATTGCCTGAAGCTCTCAGCACAGCAGGAGATACAAAATAGCTCAAGCACGTCCTGGGTAACTTTGATGGAAAAGCAGCTGCAGTATATAAATTATCTAACGGACAGAGCTCAGTTTCTCTAATAAATGGGAGACAAAAGCACTAGCTGCAGGTCTGAGCCAGGGTCAGACTGAGACAGTATGTACTGCACAAAGAGGAGGATCTATTCATAACAGACAGACCATTACCATGAGTGTACAGAGCACATCTGGGATTTCTGAGAAACAGGTGGTTGAACCCCCCTCAAGTCCCCATATCACATTAAACTTAGCATCTAACTACCTTAGACTCCTTTTACAACCCCAGCCCTAAGTACTCTTGAGCTAATGATCATTAAGAAACATTATTAATTTCTGGACTAATTTCTACTTCATATGCTTTGCTACCTCATTAAAGACCATATAGTTATCTGGGGATGATAATGGCATAATTTCAGCAGCATCTCTAAATCTTGACCTTTTAAAAATTTTTGTATTTTGATGTTTGCAAAAATCCACAGCAGCAGCAGTTTTGCATCAGGCAGTACAATACTTAAGGGTTGTTTGAATATTCAATGATTTTAGTTCCAGTTTTCATAGAACTGGCTAATCCATTCTACAAAATGGCACATACTTAA